CCTCCACCGATGTTGCGTCGGGAAGTTCCTCCCTACTACTTCTACTACCTTTGTTCTCCATGTCTTATCTTGTGGGAACCGACCTGTGAGATTTATATTTATTTAATTTATATGAATTTATATAGAATTTATATTTACGTTAATTTATATACCTCGATAGCAATTTGTATAATGATAAGTGGACTGTATTTCTGCAATAATCTTATAATCTCACAAATCGATCCTCTACACATTAGGGGGGGTTATTAAATTAATATATATGCAGCCAATCAAACTACAGAATTAACTACATACTTTGAAGAGGTTCCTTATCTTATAGTACAGCAGGTTAGTCCACCAGGTATAACTAGGGTGTAGACACCAAATTATCCTCTCTGAGGTAGCTTCCATCACCCAGTAACTGGTGCACAAAATCTTGCATCCTCGTCTTGACCTGTCAAAAGGGCGCTAACTGTGAAGCCAGATACCTATATATGACAAGCTATATCAGAGAAAATACTGTACATGGAACAATAAAGACCTGGCTTAATTACCTTTAGTTTGAGGCGATTTCGCGTTCTAACCGGCTAACCCTACCCAATGACATTAATGGCCACTAATGATAGATAATGGGTTTCGGAAAGAACACTTAACTTGAATTTGTAGACAGCGTGTTGATAATGGTACACTTTTAGTTTCCATAACACTACGTCCAAGTAAATTTAACAGGAGCCGAATTTGCTCCCGTGTGAGCCTCTGGTCTAGTCTCAACAATGGCTGCATCTAACACTCCATACTATTGACGTTACTGGCCGACATTGTCCAGATATGATAGGAGCCGAATTTGCTCCACACGTCTCGGAGGTGACACAACAATGCCTCCCTCCTTCCCCACTGACGCCTGGCTTACATTGTCCACATGTCAGAAAGTGATAGAAGGGTCACATTTACTCTACTTTAATATTGATAATTAAGTTAATTTATATAAGATGTTTTATGATGGTAAAGTCCAAAGACTAATGTATTTAAGAATAATTCCCAGCAAAATAGCTGGTGAATTATAATAGTATGTGGTGATGATATCCCATTTTCTATAGACGGTAATTCCACTACAAGTTACGTTTTCTATGGGTAACTTGTTTATACAATACAGCTATTATCTGTATGATTATTAAATGGTGTCGGATTTTCCGACATAATTCCCCAGGGGCTGCTCACGGGTCGAAGTCCTAATTAGAACAGACGAACACCGATACTCCTCCTTCGAATTATTAGATTAATTTGATGTTAGTAGTTAGTAATCACACATTTGTGTGTCTGTTCGTACAGGACGGATGTCCCGTACTAGAGTTGCAGGGGTTAGAAGTCTAATGCGATTTCATTTCCCTGTCAACTCTTGAAAGGCTAATATTCAAGCCTTATTACATATTATTTAACCCAGAAGACTGGATGTGATCAAGTACTACAGTCAAGTAAGACTCAGGGACTGCAGTGAGATCAGTGACATTAGATATAACTTGAAGTTTCTTCAGGTAACTTGTCACTGATATATAAACACTGAGGCCCATGGAATACATCTTGATTAAATAATAAATGTATCAAATCAGTCATCAGATTTATTGGGGTTTAATTTAGTTAATTGATTCAGAAGATTGAATAGCTCATCATTAAAGTAAAGTATGGTTCTGAGACTGCAGTGGGTTCAGTGACATTGGTCGCAGTGACTTGTAGCTGTTTAAGCTACTGTTCACTGATTTGCCACTGAGGCCTCATGAACTCAACTTCAGCTTTATATGATGATACTAACATCAACCTCTGTTGGTATAGTCAGCTGTAATCTCCTTAGTATAATGCTACTGGAGAAATATAATTAGCTGACAAATTTAGATTTCTACTGGTATTGTTTATCTGCAGGCATAGGTCTCCTCAGGCTTGATACTGGGCCTGAGAGTAATTTACCTCCTGCAGAGTTTAACATGGTTATACCCTGATATTTAGTAGGGCTACCGATGAATTGATGGTAGTAGTCTGTCCCCACAAGGACAGCCATTTGGCATTTGATTTGCTCAAATTTACCTGCAGCTGCTTGATAATAGCTTTCCAGGTCAGCATAATCAACTGTTGATTGTTGTGACAAATCTTCACATTTCTTGATCTGTCTTGTTAAATGGCCTTTAAGACCTGCAAGGGTTCTTTTCATTCTCCCTGCATTATCCATACTGGCTCGTTGGTGAAGCCTTGTGGGACTTGTACTTGGGCTGCTCATAATACTGAACAAGCTCTAATGGTAGCCTAGGGTAAATTCTGCACTCACTAGGCAATAATCCTACCTCTACTAGAGGTTAGCACTTAAAATTAATACACATTATATATATACAATCATACACACTAATGATTTGAGTGATAAACCAGTATCACTGGAAGTACCTTTAGGTTAGCTCTTCTATATCACCCTAGGATGGTAGAGACACTAATTAATCACTCAAAGGTGTAATGATCATAAGTAAATTATTATGTATACAACTCAACTCGAGTTGATAAAAATTACACCCAAAATAGGGTCTGGACCATTCATTAATGGTGTTAGGTTGTTCAATATAGTACAACTGACTATGGTAATAATGGGACTAGGATGAACGATAATAGTTCAACTAGTCAATGGTTAATATCCTACCCTGTTGTGGGTTGGCAATTAGTAAATATTATACTGTGATCACTAGTGCAATATATATTAAATAATTCTCTATTTTGGAGAAATAATATATACAATTATTGATAATAGCCTCTTAATTGCCTCTATGAAACTTCTAATATTATCTAAAAGTATTAAATATTATTAGTGACCTCGCGAAATAAACTCCACAAAATTCGTGGATAATCTCTCGCGAAATGTAACACCACGAAATCCGTGAACAATCTTGCGAGGACACAGCCACTAATTTGGCTGGCTTCTATATTAGCGCTGTCATTTCACGAAATAACACGCCACCAAATATCTGTGGGTGTGCATGAAACCGCTGACGAAGCTGAACTGGGCTGAGGGAGGCTCCTGAGCTCCCTCGAGGCTACGCTGCCGTCTTGACTGCTGGCTTTGTTTAAATAACACTGCACTAGTATATTTAATGAATCCACTGGATAACTGGTTCATCCGGTACTAAGATGACCAAATGTGGGTTCATAGGACCGAATATCCGGTTCCGAAGGTCCAAATAATGTGGGAACCGACCTGTGAGATTTATATTTATTTAATTTATATGAATTTATATAGAATTTATATTTACGTTAATTTATATACTTCGATAGCAATTTGTATAATGATAAGTGGACTGTATTTCTGCAATAATCTTATAATCTCACAAATCGATCCTCTACACATTAGGGGGGGTTATTAAATTAATATATATGCAGCCAATCAAACTACAGAATTAACTACATACTTTGAAGAGGTTCCTTATCTTATAGTACAGCAGGTTAGTCCACCAGGTATAACTAGGGTGTAGACACCAAATTATCCTCTCTGAGGTAGCTTCCATCACCCAGTAACTGGTGCACAAAATCTTGCATCCTCGTCTTGACCTGTCAAAAGGGCGCTAACTGTGAAGCCAGATACCTATATATGACAAGCTATATCAGAGAAAATACTGTACATGGAACAATAAAGACCTGGCTTAATTACCTTTAGTTTGAGGCGATTTCGCGTTCTAACCGCCTAACCCTACCCAATGACATTAATGGCCACTAATGATAGATAATGGGTTTCGGAAAGAACACTTAACTTGAATTTGTAGACAGCGTGTTGATAATGGTACACTTTTAGTTTCCATAACACTACGTCCAAGTAAATTTAACAGGAGCCGAATTTGCTCCCGTGTGAGCCTCTGGTCTAGTCTCAACAATGGCTGCATCTAACACTCCATACTATTGACGTTACTGGCCGACATTGTCCAGATATGATAGGAGCCGAATTTGCTCCACACGTCTCGGAGGTGACACAACAATGCCTCCCTCCTTCCCCACTGACGCCTGGCTTACATTGTCCACATGTCAGAAAGTGATAGAAGGGTCACATTTACTCTACTTTAATATTGATAATTAAGTTAATTTATATAAGATGTTTTATGATGGTAAAGTCCAAAGACTAATGTATTTAAGAATAATTCCCAGCAAAATAGCTGGTGAATTATAATAGTATGTGGTGATGATATCCCGTTTTCTATAGACGGTAATTCCACTACAAGTTACGTTTTCTATGGGTAACTTGTTTATACAATACAGCTATTATCTGTATGATTATTAAATGGTGTCGGATTTTCCGACATATCTCCCCCTCTTGGGTTCATTGTTTCCCAGTCTATTCGGCCATGATCGAAGTCTTCCTTTGCTAGCTGCTTTGCTTTCAGTCTTGGGCTGTGTCTTCTGCCACACTTTGGAGAATATTCAAGAATAGAACTGTTCGTAATTGCATATTCTTGCTACTCATACAAGTAGCCCTTCATACACAGGTGTCCTCATACAAGGGGGCCCACAGACACAGCAGGTGTCCCTGAAAAAAGCAAAGGGGCCTTACAAACAGAGAAGCCCTTACCAAAGTGTGGGGAAGCCCCCACGCTCTCTTTCCCCTTAGGCACAAAAAAGGCAGGAGCAGACCAGCAATGGTCCAGTCAGGCAAGACTTACTCAGTCAATACATGCAAGCCTTCCTGAAACCTCTCACGACTTCGCTGCTGCTCACAGTAACTCCACTCAGCTCCTGCGGCACTCCTCAGCTGCTGCGGCGCTCCTCAGCTGCTGCGGCACTCCTCAGCTGCTGCGGCACTCCTCAGCTGCTGCGGCGCTCCTCAGCTGCTGCGGCACTCCTCAGCTGCTGCGGCGCTCCTCAGCTGCTGCGGCACTCCTCAGCTGCTGCGGCACTCCTCAGCTGCTGCGGCATTCAGCTAGACCATATGAACATCATCGGGGTTTCATCTTACCATTTCTGCCAGCAATTTGAGCATCTATTTTCAACTCTGTAACACTGTGCTTTTACTGGCTGAGTGAATGGGTGACCACAGTGTTAGTGGAGCACTGGATGGGTGGAGCACTGGATGGGTGGAGCACTGGATGGGTGGAGCACTGGATGGGTGGAGCACTGGCTGGGTGGAGCACTGGATGGGTGGAGCACTGGATGGGTGGAGCACTGGATGGGTGGAGCACTGGATGGGGGGAGCACTGGATGGGTGGAGCACTGGATGGGTGGAGCACTGGATGGGTGGAGCACTGGATGGGTGGAGCACTGGATGGGTGGAGCACTGGATGGGTGGAGCACTGGATTGGGGGAGCACTGGATGGGTGGAGCACTGGATGGGTGGAGCACTGGCTGGGTGGAGCACTAGATGGGTGGAGCACTGGATGGGTGGAGCACTGGAAGGGTGGAGCACTGGATGGGTGGAGCACTGGATGGGTGGAGCACTGGATGGGTGGATCACTGGATGGGGGGAGCACTGGATGGGTGGAGCACTGGATGGGTGGAGCACTGGATGGGTGGAGCACTGGATGGGTGGAGCACTGGATGGGTGGAGCACTGGATGGGTGGAGCACTGGATGGGTGGAGCACTGGATGGGTGGAGCACAGTGTGGATGGGGCATAGTGTGGGTGGAGCATTATATACCATTGGGTAGACGGGTGGGTGATGATAGTATCAGCAAGTGGAGACTGGGGGTATTATATGCGTTTCTGTACAAATATTTAATTAAAGTCCTATGTAAGTTGATTTCAGGAATGACTTATTTCTGGACAGTCTCTGTCTGTCTCTGTCTCTCTTCCTTTCACTGTGTGTGTGTGTGTGTGTGTGTGTGTGTGTGTGTGTGTGTGTGTGTGTGTGTGTGTGTGTGTGTGTGTGTGTGTGTGTGTGTGTGTGTGTGTGTGTGTGTGTGTGTGTGTGTGTGTGTGTGTGTGTGTGTGTGTGTGTGTGTGTGTGTGTGAGTTAAGCTGGCGTGTGGTGGCAGGGTGGCAGTGTGGTCGACAGAGCCTCTCCAGCTTGGGTATAAGCTGCTGCTCTTCTTTCTACCGTCCACACCGACACTCTCCTGAAGAATTTTAGCTCATCGTTTTTGTTTTATGTTTCTGATTCTATTTTTTTGGGGGGGGGGGGGGGGGGGGGTGGGGGGGGGGGGGGGGGGGGGGGGGGGGGGGGGTGGGGGGGGGGATGTGACTGGATTGGAAGAGTAAGTAGGTGAGGCATGTGTATGCGGTTACCTAATTGTGTCTAAGTGAAATGAACTCTAGCTCTCGGTCCACGCCTCCTGTTGTACCTGGAGTTTTTATTCGATTTAATGTCCTGTTGCTCTGGAATTCCTGTTTTTGGTGTTGTGAGCCGAGGAAGCTTTCACGATTCCTTCAGTCAAATTTTATTTGTTTATTAGTTTCTCAGAACACGAATATTACTATTATTACATCTTTCCCATAATTACAACACTCAACACAAAGCATTAATTTAAGCACGCGATAGTTTATTTCAAATGAAAGTGTCTAACTTATAAAGAATTGAGCAAATGTTTATATTGCAACCAACGCTACTCTTTTATGCAACACGACTCAAATTATATTTATTTCAATGAGTGATTTACATGAAAAGTTTTCAGACTATTTTGACAGTAATTGGGATGATCAAAATTCTTCACATGAATAAACAGGCCATTAGACCTCTGATCCGTTCATATTGTACATAGTGAATCGTGGAGAGTTTAGTGTTGTTTGGGGTGTAAATATGTATGTATATGAACAAATCCACAAGGGCCGTGACGAGGATTCGAACCTGCGTCCAGGAGCATCCCAGACACTGCCTATCGTGGAACAATGTGGATTTGTTCATTTGATGCATCACGTTAGTGTGATCTCTGTGTGTTATGTATGTATATGTCGTACCTAATAGCCAGAACGCACTACTCAGCCTAGTATACAAGGCCTGATTGGCCTAATAGGCAGAATGATTTTCGTTATTAAATTAAAAATCCAATTGGTTTATCTGAAGTAATATTTATTATATTAAGAACATGTATAACTGACTCAGTTAGGTTAGGTTAAGATAGGTTAGGTAGGTTAGGTTAGGTCATATATCTACGTTAGTTTTAACTCAGTTTAACGACAAATTAAATCATATATAATATAATGGAAAGCATTACACTGGTCCACTGGCACTAGCACTGGTCCACTGGCACTAGCACTGGTCCACTGGCATTGGTCCACTGGCACTGGTTCGCTGGCACTGGCACTGGTCCACTGGCACTGGTTCACTGGCACTGGTCCACTGGCACTGGTTCACTGGCACTGGTCCACTGGCACTAGCACTGGTCCACTGGCACTAGCACTGGTCCACTGGCACTGGTCCACTGGCACTGGTCCACTGGCACTAGCACTAATCCACTGGAACTGGCACTGGTTCACTGGCACTGGTCCACTGGCACTGGTTCACTGGCACTGGCACTGGTCCACTGGCACTGGTTCACTGGCACTGGTCCACTGGCACTGGTTCACTGGCACTGGTCCACTGGCACTGGTTCACTGGCACTGGTCCACTGGCACTGGTCCACTGGCACTGGTCCACTGGCACCGGCACTGGTCCACTGGCACTGGTCCACTGGCACTGGTTCACTGGCACTGGCACTGGTCCACTGGCACTGGTTCACTGGCACTGGCACTGGTCCACTGGCACTGGTTCACTGGCACTGGTCCACTGGCACTGGTCCACTGGCACTGGTTCACTGGCACTGGTCCACTGGCACTGGTCCACTGGCACTGGTCCACTGGCACTGACACTGGTCCACTGGCACTCGTCCACTGGCACTAGTTCACTGGCACTGGTCCACAGCACTGGTCCACTGGCACTGGTCCACTAGCACTGGTCCACTGGCACTAGTCCACTTGCACTGGTCCAGGCACTGGTCCACTGGCACTGGTCCACTGGCACTGGCACTCGTCCACTGGCACTCGTCCACTGGCACTGGTCCACTGGCACTGGTTCACTGGCACTGGTCCACTGGCACTGGTCCACTGGCACTGGTTCACTGGCACTGGTCCACTGGCACTGGTCCACTGGCACTGGTCCACTGGCAATGGTTCACTGGCAATGGTTCACTAGCACTGGTCCACTGGCACTGGTCCACTGGCACTGGTCCACTGGCGCTAGTCCACTGGCACTGGTCCACTGGCACTGGTCCACTAGCACTGGTTCACTGGCACTGGTCCACTGGCACTGGTTCACTGGCACTGGTCCACTGGCACTGGTTTACTGGCACTGGCACTTACACTGGTCCACTGGCACTGGCACTTGTCCACTGGCACTGGTCCACTGGCACTGGTTCACTGGCACTGGCACTTACACTGGTCCACTGGCACTGGCACTTGTCCACTGGCACTGGTCCACTGGCACTGGTTTACTGGCACTGGTCCCCTGGCACTGGTCCACTGGCACTGGCACTGGTCCACTGGCACTGGCACTGGTCCACTGGCAATGGTCCACTGGTACTGGTTCACTGGCACTGGCACTGGTCCACTGGCACTGGTCCACTGGCACTGGTCCATTGGCACTGGCTCTGGCACTGGGGGTTCGTATTATAATAGACTCGTGGTGTACTTTATCAAAATACAAAAACAAAACACAAGACCTGGGAGAAGGCCTATTGACCCCATATAAGACCAATTTACATCCTCCCAAACACACACACACACATGTCTAACCTGCGCTTGAAACACTCCCGTGATCCCACAGTTAGCGTGTCACCCGGTAATTTGTTGCATGAATCAATACAATCAAACCAACTCCTCAAGTCGATCATACAACTCGATATAAGTGTCCAGAATGGAGGGAAACGTCGACATTTCTTCATTTCCTGATGTTTTTGGTTTCGTCATTAATACCAATAAACATTTGCTATGTATTCTTTCCTAAATGGGAACTAATCGTATTTACATATTTAAAAGCCTGTGATTACATATTTGAAACTACATATTTAATAAAATATGTTTTAATACATAAAACTACAT